GTGGTGCATGTGTGGCCGTCTTTTCCTCCACGTGCCACCCATCCCCTGTCATTGTCTCGCTTCATCCACTGCCCAATCACGGTGGGCTCACTCCTTGCACCATATGCCTGCATACTCTGCGTACTTGCTCCCATCCCCAGCTGTGCTCCCATCCCCAGCAGGGGCGATGGGTGGGACGCACAGCAAGTTGTGCAAGGAGGAGAAGGGGGCTCTATAGTCTAGTCGAAAAGGGGGTGAGGCAGGTGCCCGACTGCATCAAGTTGCAGGCAGATGGGGATGAAGATGCTGCTCCCATGCTGCTCTCTCCCTTTCTGATCTTATGCACTCTCCATCCCCTCCATATCCCACCAGTTACGTCCTTCAGTGGTGTTGCTCCTTGCCCTGCAGCCACTCCCCTTGCACCAATCACAGCCACGCTCATTCCACCAATCACAGACTGTGTCCCTGTCCTCCCCCACCCCGCCCCTCCGTGCCAGCCCTCATACTGCACTCACCCCACCAGTCTTGCAACCAGATTCACCCACGCGGCATGCCCCAGTGTTCACTCTTTTCTGCAGCATCCACCCCCCTTCCATTCCTCACGTCACACGACCCTACTTCTGTTTGCCGCTAGGCCCTCATGCTGCCTCACTGTCACCTTGCACCCCTTGGATTCCAACGCTCATCATTGCCCCTTATCGGATGCGCATGCTGCGCCCATGGGCTGTCACAAGGCACGACGCTGGCTCACTCCCTTCTGCGCCAACCACTACCCTACAGCCCTCACACCACCTTGCTCCCTCCCCCTCTCCCGCCCCCTGTCTGTCATTTCCTCGTGCTGCGTGGGTGGAGGCTACCAGAACTCGTCACGGACTAGAGCCAGGAGGCATGACTGGTAGCCGCACCACATTTTCCTCTTTGAAAGGTACGGAGGGCGGGCCGCACCACATTCTCTTTGAAAGGTACGGAGGGCGGGCCCCACCACATTCTCTTTGAAAGGTACGGAGGGCGGGCCGCACCACATTCTCTTTGAAAGGTACGGAGGGTGGGCCGCACCACTTTCTCTTTGAAAGGTACGGAGGGCGGGCCGCACCACATTCTCTTTGAAAGGTACGGAGGGCGGGCCGCACCACATTCTCTTTGAAAGGTACGGAGGGCGGGCCGCACCACATTCTCTTTGAAAGGTACGGAGGGCGGGCCACACCACATTCTCTTTGAAAGGTACGGAGGGCGGGCCGCACCACATTCTCCTCTGCGCCACCTCGTGCTGTCCCCCACCTTTCCCCTCCACCAGGTCCTCATGCTGTGTGGTGGCCTGTGTGTCATAACTAGCAGACTACAGCCACGAGGTGGCACTCACTGCGAGCCAGAGAGGCATTGAGGCGGCACTGACTGTGAGCCAGAGAGGCATCGAGGCGGCACTGACTGTGAGCCAGAGAGGCATCCAGGCGGCACTGACTGTGAGCCAGAGAGGCATCGAGGCGGCACTGACTGTGAGCCAGAGAGGAATCGAGGCGCCACAGGTGACTTGAGCGCCACAGGTGCCTTGGGCACCACAGCCAGTTCGCATCGCACAGCATCGTTCTGCCCCATCCCTCTTCTCCCACCAGATCCTCATGTTGCGCTGTGGACTGCCAGCGCGCATCACGGACTGCAGCCACGAGGCAGCACAGCGAGGCAGGGAGGCGCCGCAAGGTATGATGGGGGGTTGCAGGTGGGCTCCACTATCCGCTCCTTTGCGCCATCTCATGCTGCCCACCCTGTCTCCCCGCTGGGCTGCCAGCACTCATCATGGCCCACAGTTTCGAGCTATGTTGGATATTACGCGTACATTTACGTACGTCTTACATTATGTGTGCGGAGCTGAAAATTGCTTACGTTTGCGGGCAGATTACAACTTTTTTTGGGCTGCCCAACAACCTTGTGCCCTCATTTTTGCTGTAAGTCCGATTGTTTCGTGCACAACCAAAAGGTGCTGCGACGATCTTTCGACCACCGCCCATATAGTTTGTGGTGACGGGTTTCATGTGTGCTGGTTTTCACACCATTCCACATTGTTTGTCTCACATCATGCCTCTTGTCCCACTCCTGTAGTTAGCGGCCCTTCTTGGCATTTTTTTTCCCTACCCGAATATAAGTTACACGTATTTACATGTACGTTTACGAGTAATATTACGATTATGTGGGTCCAAAAACGAACGGAACCAACTTAGCTGGTTTCGAGGCAGCACAGCACAGCGAAACAGGGAGGTAGGGAGGCGCCACAGCCAGCCCTGGTGGCACCATACTTCCCATACCTTTTCTCCCACCAGGCTCTCATGCTGTGTCAGAAGCTCCCAGCACTCATCACGGATTACAGCCATGAGGCAGCACAGCGAGCTCGGGGAAGTGCTCCGCTCGCTAGCTGTCAACGCCAGACCCTCATGCTGCACCCATGTGCCCCATCCCTTTGTTCGCCGCCAGGCCTTCAGATCACCGTGCTGCCCCATCCCTCTTGCCACCAGGTTCTCATGCTGCGCAAGAAGCTCCCAGCACTCATCACGGATTACAGCCACGAGGCAGCACAGCGAGCCTTGGAAGTGCTCTGCTTGCTGGTTGTCGACGTGGAAAGGTGCCCTGGGGGAGAGGCGGTGCGAGGGGGTGGCGAAAGCTCCGGCAGCTGTGCTGCAACCTGTCATCAGCGAGGTAGGCGGGGGTCAAAGGAGACAACGGTTAGGCCAGGGAGGCTCTCTGCTCGCTGCCTGCTGAGGTGCAAAGGAGTGGCGAGAGGAGGGGCTGCAGCGGCCGCGGTGCTGCACTGCAGCCCGTCATCGGCAAGGTAGTCTGGGCTTGTGAAGGAAGCAAAGGAAAGGAAGGAGGTCCATTGAATATAACTGTGATTGTGAAGGGAGTTAGAAATGGTGTACATGAGTGTGAGAAGGGAAGGTGGGTGGGTAAGGACCTTGACCCAAACTATTTTTCTTGGGTCTTGGATTTGTTTGGGTCCCAAATAAGCTTGGTGAATAGTGAGCCAAGATTATAGGGGGTCCATCAATCTCTCAACCACGGGACCAGATAATTGGGCCAAGTTTGGTTTTGGGTGCATCACCTTGGTTTTGAAAAACTCCTGGTTGTTTATTGGATCTAGGTTCTGGGTGGTTTACTTTACTCTATCCAAGCAATGCATGGTAAAACAGGGATGAGGTCCTGACAAACATGTCTTAAACTGAATGCAGACAGCCAAGCCATGCCTCATGTCCTTGACCCCTCGCCACACCTCCCACCCCTTACCACTCCCCATAATGCCCCTACCTACCCTTCTCACCTCTCACCACCTCTCCAATCATCCCCTCACCATGCCTCACTGCTCTCGACCGCTTTGGTTGCCCCTCCCGATCCTCCCCATCCCTCCGATTGTCCCTTCCCATCCCTCATATTGTCCATTCCCACTCTCTCCCCTCGCCCCCCTCTCCTGGCAGGTGCGTCTGAACCCCTTCCGCATACCCTTCGCCCATCCCATGGCCAGCCTCGCCCTGCCCTCCCTTCCCAACTGCTTCTACTTCACTATCTCCTTCCTTACCGCACCCACTAGTGCTCATGCCGATGCATGTGCTGATGCATGCGTTGACGCATGTGCTGAAGCATGCGTTGCAAAGCTGAGTGCATGACCACCTGCATGCTTACTGCTGCCCTCCCTGCCCAACTGCCACTTCTTCAATATCCCCTTCCCCGCTGTAAGCACTGGTGCTGAGTTGACGGGGCCAGGAACAATTGCCGTGAGTGCATGAGCAACTGGCATGAGTGCCAACATGTATTGTCCGATCTACAGTATTTTCTTGTGCAACTCCAAGTACTTAACTCTCTTCCTGCCATAGTGAAGACTGCTGTGAACTGACACAATATCCTACATTAGGTGCGACAGTGGAAATGCCTTCGAAAAGAATTGAAGTTCTGTACGAGCAATGCTTTCAGCTTTTGATCCTAGCCAAGCATGATCGGGATGTGTGGTGCCATACTAGTAGTTCGTTTTCAGCTCATGAATCACTGTTCAGACTTGTGGGTGACGGTTTAAAGTGCTGGTACAAATAAACCATTGTACCGTAGAATGCACAAAACCTTTCTCTTACCACAGACACTAAACTGACAGCAAATAAAGTCTGACGCACACTAATCCGAAGCTTTTGTGTTATAACGCTCTTGCCCAGATCAAGCAAGGGCCTATCCAATCCAGACTTGGCCATGAAATGCCGAATGACCTTGGCTTTCAAACAGTGTGCCCAAAAAACATAAGGAAAGCGTATGGCAAAAAAATGTTGGGAGTTAGTCCAACATTATGCTGATGGATCAGCCCTCGTCTTACAGGAGATAATGGTATGAGACAACCAGAACCCTTTGATAAAGCCATGAAGATACCACATCAGTCTCATCAAACTAGATCTCGCATGACAAAGAGAAAAATATACGATCAAGCCTCTTTTGAAGCCTTCTGTTAGAGATCCACTACCTTCGCTCTCTCCCCTTCATTATCTGACAACAATGTTCTATGCACAGCACAGTACCGCAACAGCAAAAAAATTTCCACATAGATGCTATGCCATCTGTAAGAGGCGAACATGCTATACCATGTTAGCCATTTCACATCAACATGCTTACCGAGTCAAACGCTCCGGATCAGATGCTCCAACCACGAGAAAAGCGTGCAGACACTTGTCAAGATACTCTTTGAGTTCCAGCACTTGGCGTAAGTCTGCTGCTGCCAAGATTTCCAGTTCCTGCACAGCCACACAAGCAGAAGCAGCACAACAGAAGCAGCAAAGTTGTCTTCTCCAGAATGCATTCGGGGGCATGAGAAACAAACCTGCTCATTCTCACCTTCCGGGTCATAGTCTGTATGTGCAGCTCGCCTGTGTACATAAAAGTAAGTAGCCCATCCAGTGCTGCACTGTCAATGTCCTTCAACTTAAAATTCCTATGACCTGCAGAGCTGCTAAACATTCTTGCAAAAACTGGCGACCTGCAGAGAAATGACCGCTTGCAATCTGTTAGGGACCTTGCAGTTTGAGCATGCTGCTCCCACGCACAACCATGAAAGGGAAACAGAACAAAGTGGGAATCATAAGGACTAACCATGAAGCGATGAGAGGAAGGGCATGGATGGAGGGGAATGGAGGGGCATAGAGTGGACTGACTCACCCCGTAAGGGGAGTCTCGATTCTGTTCGTGCGCCGCTACGCAGGCGCCTCTCCCACACTCGCAGAGGCGGGGCGGAGTGGCGCTGGCTATATAGAGACGACACTGGCGGGTGGGGGAGAGATGTGCACCGAATGGGCGGGGAGGAGAGTGGAGGGGAGGGGAGGGGAGGGGAGGGGAGGGGAGCAGAGGGGAGGGGCGGGGAGGGGAGGGGAGGGGAGGCGAGGGGAGTGGAGGGGAGGCGAGGGGAGGGGAGTGGAGGGGAGGCAAGGGGAGGGGAGGCGAGGGGAGTGGAGGGGAGGTGAGGGAAGGGGAGGGAAGGGGAGGGGAGGGGAGCGGAGGGAAGGGCAAGGAATGGGAGGAAATGGGAGGGAAGTTGAATGAATGGGAGGGAAAGGGAGGGAAAGGGAAAGGAATGGAAGGGAAAGGGAGGGAAAGGGGAAGGAATGGGAAAGTCACCATGGCAACTCATGCGGCCGGCGCAGCTATTGCGTTCGCGAGTGTGTGAGAGCGTGCGACGCGAATGTGAGCGCGCGAGAGACGCGAGAGTGATAGGGTAGGGTGGGTGTGTGCGACAGGCACGGGCGTGGTGATGAGCGGGGCACGTTCGTCCTCAGCACGCAACACACCCACCCCAATGAGACGTGCTTTGTTGCTCGTGCAAAAGGGACCTCGAACGCTTGCGAGATGGCGTGAGGCCGTAATGGGTGACGATCCGCTATTGAAAGCGAGTTGCAACAGTGTGGCAGCGCACTGTTATTGTTGGGCAGCCGCACAGTTCCAACCCACCGGCGGCTAGTGGGAGGCTGCAAACTCCCAAACCACGCAAGGTTGGAATTGGTCAGCCTCCCCTCCCAGCATTTGGGCGCCCACCTGAAGACACGCAGCCCAAACCACACCCTCACGCGAAAATCATCACAAAAAACCTTGGTTTTTAAAGGGGGTTCGGAGGGGGGTACAGTTCAGGTGTTTTGGTTGGCGAAGTTCCGAAACAAAAGCGCGACCAATCACGGAATGAATTCGGACCGCGTTTATTTGTCCGAGTCTAAATCGAATCCGCGACTCCGGTACATTGTTGTTTATTTGGACCGTGCCAAATTTGGGATTCATTTGTAATTGGTTTTGTTTGTTTTGACTTATGTAAAATGTGAGTGCTGGATAACTTAACAGGCCATTTTATTACAATATAAATGCATCACATATGATACTTATTAAGGAGATAGGTACTGTCCAGATGGAATGCCTTCCCCACATGGACGTGACGGAGCAGCGCTTCCATCGGAATCACAGAGTATGCGTACATTCCTGTTGTCCACTTGAGGCGAAGGCATCCGGTTGCAGCATCCTCTCCGCTTGCGTTCCAATATCTAACGTAGGCTAGCTCCTCCCTCTCTCCACGTATTTTTGTATGGAACAACAGGAGCAACCTTGCATACCACTCCTCTCTGCGACCATGCCTTACACCCTCCACTGCAACATCCGAGTACCACGGCCTCTCAAAATAGTCAGGGGTCGCTCGAACGAAGTGAGAAACTCTTGAGAAGCTGGCATCATCTGCCGCTGGGATGGCCAACAATGCATGGGCCTGCATAACAATTGCAGTGTGTAATCAGTTTAGGGTTTGGGGCAAGAAAAAAATGATTGTATGATCCACGAAGTACTTACTCTGATCTTGGGGATGCATCCAGCATAACGTACTAGCGCATCCTTGAGGGCAGCTTGTGCAACTGGGTGTTGCATGGCCCACTTCCTTGCAAACCAGTTGGTGGAGGTGGGTTCTTCTGGTAACTCCACAGGGAGAAAGTAGGACTCTTTGATAAGAGTCCTTGTGCCTGTCTCAATGGCCTGCCAACGAACAGTGGCGAGTTTATTACATTATGCATGCATATCTTTGCAATTCAATCACTAGACAGGTTTACCTGCCGCATGGCAGTGTCCCGGCCAAGGGGATCGTCCACCGGCACCACGTCCGGGATGCGCCTAGCATGGAACTTCATAATCTGCCCATCTACATTGCGCTTGTTGGACCGCCGGTAGATCCTCTTTACCAACGGGCCATGCAAGTGCTCGAACATGTTGGTGCTGAATTCCGTGACGTGTCCCGCACGGCGAATGGAGTCGATGTAGTGCGACATGAGATGGGTTTTCACAAGGCACCAAGAGGATGGCTGCTTTGGAAAAGCAGCCTGCAACTGCTCAACTAGCCTGATGGGAGTGGGAGTTGACAGCATGCAAGGACATCAGAGTCTACTACAGCATACTGCAGCCTACTTTATTTGATATACTATCATGGTTTATCAGCAACAACCTCAGAAGATATGTTACTACAACAGCTTAGGTGCCGTGGCCAGGCATTCATGCAATCCCCAGGGTTGTACATGCATGTCAATAGTACCGGGAGGTCTTCTTCTTTAGATCCCGCAGGGACCGCTCGGTGTGCCCCGTTGGCTGGCAACACAAGAGGTACCAGCCAAGATAGGCACGAACAGCATCCATCTGGGGCTGGCAAAGCAGGCCAGCAAATACGAACACCATGACCTGCAAATTTCAGGGTTAAGGACGGCAGGTGGGCATGAGTAGTTGGGACATGCGTGTGCCGATTAACAAACAGGTTAGGGGGCGGAATTGATGAGAGCGGGAGAATGGGTACTAGGATGCAGCAGGGGGGGTGTTGTAGCCTGGAATCAGCATCCTGTTTCAGCATGGTGCATGCTGTCGCTCACGAGGATCACATGCACCATGGCTTGCTCACCTGCATGACGGCCCTGTGCTCATAGGCCGCGACACATGCTCCAGTCTCGAAGTAGGCGCTCTCTGGCAGGCGCAGGTGGTTCAGGCGCGTGCGGTCGCGAATGAGGGACAGGCGCCTGCGCATACATCCGAGCTCAAGGCCGGCACAAATGCATGGGCATGTAAGTAGGAGGAGAATGCGTATTGGAGTGTTCTTGACACGAAAGTAATCCCCCAAGGCACTGACCTGTCCATCTGCTTGACGCGCCGCTTCTTCATCTTGCGCACGACAGCCACAATGTGGCTCATCATGCCCAGGTCCGCCTGGTGCATGATGTCAGGCATGATAACGAGGTAGGGATTGCCCCACACGGTCCCTGGGACGTCCCATTTCCATAGCACACACTGGCGGAGGGGGTGTGGTGGGGAATGGTAGAGAAAGGTATATGAGAGACTCGGCCAACATGTGGGGCAGTGCAATGGCAGTGCACATCTCCCCCAGGGCTTCTCAACACGGAGTGCTTAGACAGGAAAGTAGCGCGGTGGACAGGTCGCTCACCTCAACCGGGTAGGTCGAGTAGGTCTTGCATGGGTCGGCCTGGCTTGATGTCAACCCAGCCGCCTCATTCACGATCCATTGCTGCTGTTCAATCGTGCGCGGCGTGTTCCGTGCCTTGACAGCAACTAAATGCTCCTGGTGTAGCACGGGGGGTGGGATGGGATGAACTGGTAAGGGTGAAAAAATTAGGAGGTCCGTCATGTGACAGTCAGATGACGATGGCGCTGAAGGCGTTCACATGGCATGTTTGCTCACCTTTGCAGCATAGCAGATGCTGCACGGCATCCGCGATCCATGCGAGAGTGTGCAACTAATCTTGCCGCTCTCGGGGTAGTCGCACACCCAGGCGTACAGCAGTGGCCGCACTGTTTGCCAATCACCGAAAGGGTCCCTGAGACGGAAGCCGCTGCAAGGAACGGGTAGAGTGGTAACGTCAACAGCCATGACGACTCTGTGCATCAGCGAGGAGGGGCAAAGGGTAATGCAACATACAAAAGCGCTGCGCACACTATGCTGTGCACACGGTGACGACATAGCATGACGGAAATCGAGTACGGACCTGTCCATGCCATCCAGAAGCGGCTGCAGCACGGTGAGGACGCATCGCTGGAAGAGCATCACCTTCTCAACAGCAGACATTGCCGAAGGGGGGATAGGAAGGAGAGCAAGTAGCGTGTGCCCGGCTTTCCCCCATCGCTTGGCCTGGGAGATGTTGGCAAGCGTCATCATGAGCGGCCACGCCTTCTTCCGGCCGTTGTTGCTCATGTGCGTCACATCCGAATATAGGATGATACCCCCCACGACTTCGGACCATTCGAAGTGTTCCTGCATGCACGACAAAGACGGAAAACCCCCACGGTCAAACACCACCAAGGTAATGTGTCGCCTGGCGGATTAAGCATGGTACATAACACTCCCCACTAACATGACGCACTGAAGATGCTCCCTACACATCAGCGCGTCAACGGAGGACGGCGCACGCGTGTGGTTTTGGGTGGCAGCGGGGTATTTACATACCTGAGCATCGTTCCACCACGTTCCAGTTTCTGGCGTGTTATAGCGACGCTCGTCTGTGCCATGGTCCTCATCGACACGAGCCTTGAGCTTGAAGCCGGGCGCGTTGTTGGTGTGCCCAAACAGTTCAGCAAAAGCCTGGAGTACGGCATCAAGAGCGGGGGAGAACCAAACAGGGGTTTAGTGGCGGGAGCGGGGAAGGGTCGGATCACACACATGGACCAAATGGAGGCGGAATCTGCATTTCGCAGCCACGCATCCACGGCCGGCTTACCTGCGCAGAGTTCTGGAAGAGGAGGCGTTGTGGAGGATGACCCTCAATCTCGAAGGTCGCCACTGACCATCCGCGATTGAGCCCTACCAAGCGCTCCATCTCGAACCTCTCCAGATCCTTGCAGTTCCGGATCTCTGAGATCACAAGAGACGCAAGGCCGGGCTCCACCACGAGCTGAAGCAGGCCATTGATGTCGATCTCCGCCATGCCCATTCCGCCATTTACACGCCTCACGAAGTGCAGCAGCTTCAACGCAATCGGATTGAGGGGCGTCGCATTGCTCTCCCCGGAGATGATTGTCGGCGGGGCCGCGTGACTCACTCCAGGGCGGCACCCCGGATCCGCACTCGTGTCATCTGAAGGTGTTCCGGGTGGCGGTTGATGCTCAGATTCAGAAGCCCCCACGTTCCCAGCCGAGGGTGTTGCGTCATCTTCAGCTTCATGCACGCGAGGAGGACCATTCACAGCGTCGGTGTTGGACGCATTAGACGCGGTAGGTGAAGCGGGAGCAGCGGGAGCGTCCGACAGAATCTCTTGCACGAATAGCAGTGTGTGTAGTCCGGCGGATGGTGCAGATTGCGAGGGCCTTGCCAGGGCGGAAAGGCCTTGGCAAGGGGTCCGCCGTGACTTGTGACCGCCATAAACTTGGGCGTTGGGGAACCATCTATTGCAAAACTCGCAGACGACGCCAGGTAAGGAGCCCATGCGGTACGGATCTGTCTAAGTGTTGAGGAATGGCCTGTGAAGCAACGAGCGTCGTGGGAAGCTTGAGAAGGCATTAAGTACTCCGTGCAAGAAGGCTGGTAATGCAACACGGTCATCGCCAAACCGCGCACTGTTCAAGGCGGCTTGTATCACTGCACGACTGGCACTTGAGCGGGCAGCTTATGTTTGGACGTGCCTAACGATGTGCGCGCCGCGCGGTCGTGACAAGGCACATGGAGCAGCGGAGAATGCGCTTGATTCTAAGACGGTAGGTCTTGTGTGTGCGTTGCGAGCTCGGTGAGAAGGACGTGCCTGTGGATTCACGCACTCTTGGTGCGTGAGAGTCGAGTGGGATGAGGAAGAGCGGGAAGAGATCCGTTTGGATCTGTAGTTCAGTTGCGAATTGTTATACGGGGGAGATCGCGCTCACGTTAGTGAGCTCACAGTGGTGAGCTCGACAACGGACAAAATACAGCGCAGGATATTACATTGTACAATTGCATTTAATCTATACACTAAACTCGTTGATGATAACTACTACACGGTCACATGAAAATGCCTGCTCGAGATCCACCCCTAGTTGACAACATGACATTCTAAAACCCATACAAGATCTCTAGTGTGGTCTGGCAACATACGGGAAGTACACAAGAACTTCATGCCCTCACGATAACGCATCGCCGATTGTGCGTTGTGGCTGTTGGGCTGAAAAGGCCCTAAGGATCTTTTTCAGAGGATAACTCTGGGTAGAATACTTTTGTAATAGCGGAAGCGTTTAATGAAGCTTTGTGAACCGACCTTGCACTAGTGTGTGAGAGCAAAGTAGATTGAATTATATTGAAAGGATACAAGCTTATATAATAATACAGGGAATATGAAGGGATACGGTTATAACTACTTTTACTGTTGCTGTTGGGGTTCGATACAGTGCGACTCGGGCAAGTGCTCTGTAACGAGTCAGTTGTGTGTCCTTAACTGTCGCGCTGTTCTTGTCAGGTCAAGGGTCAGCGACCTTTGACTTTCGCGTAACTTCCTGCAGCCGATTCAACCTCCGAGGGTTGACTCGCAGGTGCTTCGGTGTAGGTTGCCTCGCTTCTGGTGCAATGTTTTGACACTGCTGAAGCGTTTAAGTTCCATTGTTTCCAATAGTGGCTCTACTTCATACCCCTTTGAGGCACCTACTTGAATGTCCGTGCAAGGTTAGATGACAATCCAACATCGTACCACAACGGATTCGCCTGGTCGCGCAAGCATTGTATGGATGCGAACGCAGCAACGTCGCCAAACTAAACAGCGATGTCGATTGCGCATCAACGCTCATGCGTTGGGCCTGTGCTTCATCCCACACCCTCAATGCACCTGGCGGAGGGCCCATGCAAGAATGGAGCCCCATCCAACACCATTCCACAACGGATTCGCCTGGTCGCGCAAGCATTGTATGGATGCGAACGCAGCAACGTCGCCAAACTAAACAGCGATGTCGATTGCGCATCAACGCTCGTGCGTTGGGCCTGTGCTTCATCCCACACCCTCAATGCACCTGGCGGAGGGCCCATGCAAGAATGGAGCCCCATCCAACACCATTCCACAACGGATTCGCCTGGTCGCGCAAGCATTGTATGGATGCGAACGCAGCAACGTCGCCAAACTAAACAGCGATGTCGATTGCGCATCAACGCTCGTGCGTTGGGCCTGTGCTTCATCCCACACCCTCAATTCACCATGTCGAGGGCCCATGCAAGAATGGAGCCCCATCCAACACCATTCCACAACGGATTCGCCTGGTCGCGCAAGCATTGTATGGATGCGAACGCAGCAACGTCGCCAAACTAAACAGCGATGTCGATTGCGCATCAACGCTCGTGCGTTGGGCCTGTGCTTCATCCCACACCCTCAATGCACCTGGCGGAGGGCCCATGCAAGAATGGAGCCCCATCCAACACCATTCCACAACGGATTCGCCTGGTCGCGCAAGCATTGTATGGATGCGAACGCAGCAACGTCGCCAAACTAAACAGCGATGTCGATTGCGCATCAACGCTCGTGCGTTGGGCCTGTGCTTCATCCCACACCCTCAATTCACCATGTCGAGGGCCCACGCAAGAATGGAGCCCAAGCCAACACCATTCCACAACGGATTCGCCTGGTCGCGCAAGCATTGTATGGATGCGAACGCAGCAACGTCGCCAAACTAAACAGCGATGTCGATTGCGCATCAACGCTCGTGCTTGAACAACTTCCAACGACCAGTATCCGTCGCCCATTCTCAATGTGTGCTCAGTATAGCATTCCATAGTCCACGAGTTGGAAGCACAAAGAGTGCGTCCTAAGCCCCATGCACTCACTAAACTTCACACCATATGACACCATAAACGGCTATTCACTTCAAATTGTCTTAGTTGTACTTTGCAAGTGTATTCAGCTACTATGTTAAAATTTGATCATTGCACTAGGCACTGTACTTTGCAGGATGTGATGATTGGTGGTGTCGAAACGGTACTAGATTCCGTGGAGATTGATGTGTTGGCGCTGATTGGCCGACGCATCTCAAACGACCCTCCCCACTACCGCACCAGCCAAGCTGGACATTCGCCGCGGAAGCAGCGACTGTGATCAAGCGTGTAGTGCGTTTCTGATCGGGAGGCAAATTGTAGACCGTCCGATGGTGCGTGTTCTGCTTACAGTCCTCTCGATAGACTCGCAAACCACGCCAACTACCGTCGTGCCCCACTCACCAGCTTCCGTCACCCTCATACCCACTACCTTGACGCCGCTCGCTGCTGAACACAGGATTTTCCAAATCGCCAGTTAGACGGAGTAGCGACGAAGGAAAGGGCTGACGCCATGTGCTTAGTAGCTACTAATTCAGGTGTAATTGTACCTTCCGATTTAGGGTGAAAAAGTATTGGCTTCACCAGGACGGGGTCAAATAGCAACAAACCTTTCCGGTTTTTTTTTTTAAACTCAGCTACCCAATCTCGCAATTTAAAACTTGCATTCGTACCACCCTCATGACACCTGCTACTCGGCAAACAGAAAAGCAGGAGGAGGCGAAACGACGCACGACACGAAGGATGTCGCATCAGACCGACCAAGAGGGTGGGGCCAGATCTAGGGCTACTAAAAAGGCCGCCGCGCAAACCAATCAAACGAAACGTGCGGCGGGGAAAAAGGCTGAGGTGGGAAAGCAGAAGCCCGGGAAGAAGGCGGAGGACAAGGGGAAGCAACCAACGGCACGCAAGCATGTTTCGGCCGTCAGGAGCGATGCGGATGTTGCCACTGCTGCCCTCGAGCCCGGTCCTTCTGACGACGGCACCATCGGCGGGAACGAAGACCCTGGGCGTGGCGGCGTGAGTGTTGCCGTCCGGTCGGGGGACAGAGAGGGCTTTGCGACTGGAGGAAAGCACGGCGACTCTCCCCGCCAAGATCAGGCCGCAACTTCGACGTCCGTGGCAGAGGCAAAGCAGCAGCATCTGACGCTGCCCCACCCGCCCGTGGTCGAAATATCTGCTGCAGTGATAGATAAGGAGAAGGATGCTGCGCACGATTGCACGGAGGGGCCGAAACACGACATTGCCGACGTAGGTGGATCTCCTCCCTCTGGGGGACGCGGGAGGCGTAGGCAGAGGAAGAGCGATGGTGAGGAGGAGAATGACACCCCCGTGGCTGAGGACATGCCCATACGCGCGAAGAGGAGGCAGACGACAGCCAGCGGTGACGACGCCGGTGGTGCTGAAGTTGGGACAATGCGAGGCACCACGGCGCCAAGTGGCTTGGCGACAGATCATGCAATGCGGCATAAGGTGGGATCCGGTCCGAGGAAACCATCTAGCGGACGGAGGGGGAAGCAATCTTCGGGGGGGAATAGGCCGAAGCGCGGCAAAGAAGGCCCTGGTGAAGCGGATGTTGAGGACGAGGGGGATGGGGAGGAGGAGGCCGAGGAGGATGCGGAGGAGGAGGACGAGGATGCAGGGGAGGGAGAAAAGGACGAGGATGAGCAGGAGGGCGACGATGATGAGGAGGAGGAGGAGGAGGAGGAGGAGGAGGAGGAGGAGGAGGAGGAGGAGGAGGAGGAGGAGGAGGAGGATGAGGATGAGGACGATGAGGAGGACGATGAGGGGGACGACGAGGATGAGGAGCAGGAGGAGGAGGAGGAGGATGAGGAGGAGGAGGAGGAGGAGGAGGAGGAGGAGGAGGAGGAGGAGGAGGAGGAGGAGGAGGAGGAGGAGGAGGATGAGGAGGAGGAGCAGGAGGAGGAGGAGGAGGAGGAAGAGGAGGAGGAGGATGATGAGGAGGAGGATGAGGAGGAGGAGGACGACGAGGAGGAAGAGGAGGTGGAGGAAGGGGCGGATGAGGAGGAGGAGGAGGAGGAGGAGCCGGCAGGGAAAGGACGGGGCGCGCGAGGCGGACGGGGGAGTGGCACAGGAAAGGTGGGGGGCCGGTCTGGACAATCCCGGAAACGCGGGGCGGGTGACGCAATGCGTGCCGGACCAGCGGGCAAATCGAAGGCGCGTAAGGTGAAGGTTGAACTTGACCGGGGTAGAAGGAAGCAAGTGAAACAGGGAGCTAAAGGCGATGGAGACGGAAAGGGACCGCGCGCGAAAGGGGTACCTGTGGGTTCGGCAAAGAAAGAACCTGCCCGTAAACGAGGCAGCACCCGCCAAAGCACACTGCGGAAACGGGGCAACGATAAGGAGCAGGCAGCAAAACCGAAGGGACAGCAACGTGGTAAGCAACGTGTCACAAACGACTGGCATAGCTGCTGCGGTTTGTGCTGAACAGACCCTAACAACACCGTGTTCCACCCGTCTTTTCCCGCCGCAGGGAAGGAGAAGGTTGACGAATCGGCTAACCCGGGTAAGGCGTGACTATACACTACAGTTCCGTGCTACACCCATGTTAGAATCATGAGGTTGCTCGTCATGTTTGCACATGTCCAAATGCACCTTACAGACACCAGCTCCGTGCTCATCCTCCGTGTGACTCTCAGCCCCCCGTGTTACAGGCATTGGGCCACCGGTAACCGTGCAACGGATGCAGCTAGCGAAAGGGGCCGGAAGAGCGAGTGTGGCACCGCTATCCACAGGAGGACCAAGGTTCTTCACGCCATACTCCGGCCCGAGCAAAGTCGCTGCGACTACACCCGGCGCGGCAACAGGCGAGGAATCCGAATCCCCTCCACCAGCCCCCGTCACGCACTCCCCACTCGCCTCTCCCTCATACCCATTTCGGCCACTACACGCTTCTCCAGCCCGGGGCAGGGCGGTCTCCCCCCGCGTGTGCATCAACCAAGCACCTTTGCCAATCCCTTCCCTGAGCTTCCCTTTTCCCGCCAGCGTGATAGTGTGAGGGCACACGGTGCTGCTGCAGAAGACGTTGATCCCCTTGGCCAGAGAGGGGTTTCTACACACCCTTTTCCGGATGTCATGGATGCGCTGGCTGAAGGTGCAGAGCACGGGCAGTTTGTTACATGAGACGAGTTCCAGCAGCTACGGTATGAGATGTACGCCATGTTTGCTCAGCTCGGCCTGCGTCGGGGAGCAACTGCCAGCTATGCCGGGGGGGGCGCAGTGGTGCTGATGGGTGGTACCCCGCCGCCGATGAGTGCCGTGGACAAGGCACGTGTGCTTGTGCTGCAGGAGACCAACCCATTCCCGGTATGTGGCGGGTTGGGGTTGACGTGGCAACCAGGGCAGGGTTGGGAATGACCTGGCGGTTGGAAAGGGTGCGCGGGAGCGGTGCAGGGCGACACGTGACTCCACACGTGGGCGGGGGCTGACGTGGCTCTTTCGGATCTTTGTGTGCGACGTGGCAAGTGGGTTGGGTTGGTGGGTTTAGACGGCGGACGCAAGAGGGTGTGACGTGGCGGGATGTGTGGCTTGGTGCTGACGTGGCACCTTGGAAGGGCACAAGGGAGCGGCGCTCAACGAGGCGCCGTGTGTCAGGTGGGTGGGGTGTGACGTGGCATGGGGTGGGCGGGTGTGACGTGGCACGTGGGGCTGGCTGCTACCTGACGTGGCGGATGCAGGAGGGTGTGCCGTGGCGGGATGTGTGGCTTGGTGCTGACGTGGCGGCTTGGAAGGGTACACGGGAGCGGCGCGTGACGATACTACACGTGTGCGGTGGGTGGCTTGGTGACGTGGCATGGGGTGGGCGGGTATGACGTGGCACGTGGAGCTGGCTGATCCCTGACGTGGCGGACGCAAGGGCGTGTGACGTGGCGGGATGTGTGGCTTGGTGCTGACGTGGCGGCTTGGAAGGGCACAAGGGAGCGGCGCTCAACGAGGCGACGCGTGTCAGGTGGGTGGGGGGTGACGTGGCATGGGGTGGGTGGGTGTGACGTGTCACGTGGGGCTGGCTGCTCCCTGACGTGGTGGATGCAGGAGGGTGTGCAGTGGCGGGATGTGTGGCTTGGTGCTGACGTGGCGGCTTGGAAGGGTACACGGGAGCGGCGCGTGACGACGCTACACGTGTGCGGTGGGTGGCTTGGTGACGTGGCATGGGGTGGGCGGGTATGACGTGGCACGTGAGGCTGGCTGATCCCTGACGTGGCGGACGCAAGGGCGTGTGACGTGGCGGGATGTGTGGCTTGGTGCTGACGTGGCGGCTTGGAAGGGCACAAGGGAGCGGCGCTCAACGAGGCGACGCGTGTCAGGTGAGTGGGGGGTGACGTGGCATGGGGTGGGCGGGTGTGACGTGTCACGTGGGGCTGGCTGCTCCCTGACGTGGCGGATGCAGGAGGGTGTGCCGTGGCGGGATGTGTGGCTTGGTGCTGACGTGGCGGCTTGGTAGGGTACACGGGAGCGGCGCGTGACGACGCTACACGTGTCAGGTGGGTGGGGGGTGATGTGGCATGGGGAGGGTGGGTGTGACGTGTCACGTGGGGCTGGCTGATCCCTGACGTGGCAGACGCAAGGGCGTGTGACGTGGCGGGATGTGTGGCTTGGTGCTGATGTGGCGGCTTGGAAGGGTACACGGGAGCGGCGCGTGACGACGCTACACGTGTCAGGTGGGTGGGGGTGACGTGGCATGGGGAGGGTGGGTGTGACGTGTCACGTGGGGAGGGTCGTTGGTGGATTTGGCGGATGCAGGAGGGTGGGTGGGGGGTGACGTGGCATGGGGTGGGTGGATGTGACGTGGCAAGTGGGGCTGGTTCCTCCCTGACGTGGCGGACGCGGGAGGGTTGGTCACGCGGCCAGAGTCATAATTGATGGTTTCTCTCTCCCCGTGTCGTCTTGTAAATCCACACCCATGCGCAGAGCAAAGCCTACTTAGTGTGCTCTCAGCTCCTGTTTCTGAACCCCCCGGAGAAGATTCAGTATTACCCTGCACCGGAGGAAGTGTTCGAGGCGTTCGCTGTCCACTTGTCTCACGAAGGGCTAGAGTCAATGAAGCTGCTGTGGTTGCACAACGACAAGTCAACCATGGGTGTCTTCAACCACCAGATGTCATCAACCAGGTCAACAATCAACAGCACCCTCAGGCCAGCAACGTACGCCGGCATGGGTCTCTCCGATTACGCCAATGCGGTGGATAGCCTGCCCACTGAGCTACGCCCGGAGAAGTGGTTCAACGACGAGCCGCTCCTGGCCGAGTACAGAGATGGTATGTGCGTCTCAAACACACCATATCCCCCTGCCCATAAGCCAGTCAGCAGCTACAAATAACCGTGCCGTGGTACTCTGACCCTGTCTCTCACCCCCCCACTTGATCTATCTGCACCCCCTTTCCAACCCATACGCTCCCTCCCAAAATGCAGAACAGTGGACCCTCAACTGGCACTTTGACAAGGCCACCGGAACGCCCTTCAGCAACCCCTTGTTTGCTTATGCGTTCAAGCTCTCCTTCAAGAGGAGCGGGGTCGTGTTCACCAAGTTCAAGAGCCGCATGGTGGCATGGGGCCTGTTTTCAGTAAGGAGGTAGATAAGTGACACTACACCCATGCCTCATCCCCTAAACCCCTCGCCTGTACTTCATCTAAAACCCAGGTCGCTTAGGCGTTTGCGGTTACGTAGGGTGTGACGTCTTCACTGCTTTCAGTTGGATCATATGCCCATAACCTCCCCTCATACACCATCCACCCAACCCTACACCACATTGCAGATCGAGTGGCCCCTTCTGCAGGACAAGCGCCGCAAGCGTATTCCGGCCCAGCCGGAACAAAACAGGCCGGACTACTTCGAGTGGTGTGACAAGGTCAAACAGATGATACACTTTGCCGTTGTGGAGCGACGCATCCCACACGATCCGGCTCAGGGTGCGTTCGTCTTCCCGAACAAGTTCCTCATCGACGATGGCGACCTTGGAGATGTTGTTCTTGCCTACCGGGGGCTTGCAGGGCCCACCATTGCGCAGACTATTTGACTGGGTGTTAAAACTGCTGGTTGTTAGAATGCTGAATAATGGAAGCTGCAACCCGCGAATATTGAATGTAATTCTGAAATCCTCAATTCCCATAATAAAACAAAAACAAAATCCATTTTTAAATGATTTGGTCACAAAACTGACCCTAAACGGATTGCGCGCGAATGTCAGCCGGAACAGCACGCCTGCCAAATTGGAACTTGACCCGAGCCAAGCCTTGTCGCGAGATGTGTGTCGGAGCTCCTATCAAATGACTCAAAACCGTCGGTCGAAATTCGGTCCCGAAATTTTTACGCGAAGACAATCCCAATCAAAATTCGTCCAAACTTGGCATAGGGTTTTTGTGATGATTACGAAATGCAGAAAAGTCAATTTCCAACCCCTCGCCAACTTCGCCAACGGTGCCGACGAAATTACAGCCATGTAACCAAGCGCCGTCCAGTCCCGCATCGCAATCAATCTCTGAATTTCACGGCAAGGTTCATTTCAAGGGGTAGAGTTACCAATAAGAAATTCAGAGTGTCGCGACTTGGTAATGCGACTCGATTTGTGAATGGATCGTATAAAATTATGTGTGAAATTTGTTAAAGTCATATTGCAAATTCCAGAGAACTCCAGAGAGCACTTCATACCCGTTTCTTAGCCCACTAAGGTTGCTACTTCCCTGCCAGCAACGTTTCAATGGTATCATATCCTGGTTAGTCACTTCGCACGCTCCTGCCATATTCTAGACCCTATTATGGCTGGGCCGTCTGATATGACTCCGGAACTCTTGAACGATTTTGTCGCCAATATGCGGTGAGAAATTGAACGCGAGGTGCGTGACCGGATTCTCGGCGAACTCCAGGAACGTGGACTCCTGGGCACACAGGTGCCGGCGCCAGCACCTGCTGTGGTCTCTGCACGTCTGAAAGCATCTGAACCTGAGCCGTTTGTTCCTGGAAAACGGGACTTACCTGTGCAAAGATGGCTCTTCGAAATGGAGGAGTACCTTTCTGTATGCCACGTGAACCAAGCCGAATGGGCGAAGCACGCCGGCATGATGCTGCGAGGTGCTACTGCTACTTGGTGGCATAGCTGCCACGCTACAATTTCAACCTGGGAAGAGTTTTCAGCATCGCTCACCATGAATTTCGAACCTATCAACGCGATTGAACGCGCTCGTGCCAACCTCGCTGCACTACGCCAACACCGCTCCGTAGCCGAATACGTCAACCGCTTCCGGGAGTTGGTGCTGGAGATTCCCGACGTCCCTGCCTCCGAGCAGATGGATAAGTTCAAGCGTGGGCTGAAACCAAAAATTCGCACTGAAGTGGAGCTTCGCGGATGCACGTCGATGGATGATATGATCCGTGTGGTAGAACGCTTCGACACGATCAACTTCGTTGCGTTCCAACGCTTCAACGGCATGAGGATGGGTCACACGAATCACGCTCCAGCTGCTCGTGCAAACGGTCCTACACCCATGGAGCTGGGAATGATGGAGCGGCAACCACATAATGCCTCAAAAGTCATGTGCTACCAATGCGGGAAGATGGGGCACATCAAGCGGAACTGCGCGAATCGTCGCAGCCCGAACGGAGGACCGGGAAACGGACAGCACCAGTAGCAATGGGGCAGACCTCTGGCGCATCGCATGCCCCGCTTCTCCCGACCCCATTATTCATCGGCACCTCTGAGCTCTACACCACATCAAACGCTCCATTCCCCGCCATCATTCTATACGCAAAAATAAAGAATCGCTACGTTGATTTTCTGCTCGATACCGGCGCTTCAGCAAATGTCATCTCTCCCGCAATTGCTGCTGAACTTTCTCTCCCCAAAGATCCCAACAGCAACCCGCAGGACGTGATCATGGCAGATGGTACTCGACGGCGCTGCGGACCTACTCTCCTCCCCGTGCATTGCATGTTTGGAAGCTTGGAGGCGACGGTCACGTTCGAGCAACTGCATCTCGGTGGGTACGAAGGCGTTATCGGTCGACCATGGTTGCACCAGTTTGGACCACGGATTTATTGGCGCAACGGAGCTGTCACCGTCGGCAACTACGACCTCCCATCCCACTCCTTCCGCCGACCAAGACATGGCGCTGTTACGTGGAGCTGCAACCCATCACCGTCTACACCGACCATCGCCCTCTTCAACACCTGAAACCACAGCCCGTGCTCAGCTGCCGTCAAGCCCGATGGGTTGAGTATCTGGAGCAGTTCGTCCCCTCACTTCAGATCATCTACCGCCCTGGAAAACTCAACCCAGCTGACATCTTGTCCCGACCACCACCACCAGCCCCACTACCCACCGACCAGCCCCAACCAACCACCAACCAGCCCCACCACTCCCAAACCAGCCCCACCTCATCACCTCCACCTCTTACTCCCAACCCACCCTTGCAACTCCATGGAATCAGCAGCATCACCTGGGATGATACCTTCATCACGAAATTTCAGCGCACCCACAAACGTGACCTGTTTTTTGTCAAGCAAGCACCCGAGGACCCGGCCTACTCATTTGAAGACCCATTTTGGTACAACACCGTCACTTGTGTCCCTACGGATCGCTCATTACGGGAGCTTCTATTCTCCGAATACCACGACACCATTACCGGCAGCCACTTTGGTGTTGAGAAGACCTACGCACGCCTCTCCAACGACTACCATTGGCCACGCATGCATGCTGATGTGCGTGACTTCATACGCACATGCCGAACCTGCCAACAACTCAAAGCACGCACCACCAACTGCTACGGACTCCTTCAACCTATCCCTCCACCTACCAAAGTGTGGGACGAAGTCACCATGGACTTCATCATGGACCTGCCCCGAACACCCCGCAGCTACAACGCCATCCTAGTTGTCATCGACCGACTCTCCAAAATGACTCACTTCATCCCTACCCACACAACCGTCACTGCACCCGAAACAGCCCGACTCTTCTTCGATCACATAGTCCGCCTACATGGTCTCCCATCCGCCATCAATCAGACCGTGACCCCCACTTCTTGAGTAACTTTTGGCAGAGCCTCTTCAAACTTCACGGAACCCGGCTGAAGTTTTCTACCGCGTATCACCCTGAAATGGATGGACAAACCAAACGGATGAACCGCACGCTTGAAGACGCCCTTCGTGCACAAGTTACCGCTCACCAAACTGATTGGGATCTCCACCTCACCGCCATTGAACTTGCATACAACAGCATACCTCACCTTTCCACCGGTCACCCACCCTTCTACCTTGCAACCGGACAGCACCAACGCCTCCCCACAACCCCACCCTCCCACCTCTCACACACACCAGTAGCCTTTGAGTTCCTCACTTCACTCGAATCAGCCATTGACGCCGCTCGCACCTCCATCTTTAAAGCACAAGCCAAACAGACCCACTATGCCAACTCCTACCGCAAAGATATCCGCTTCAAGGTTGGCGATCAAGTCTTCTCTCCACTGACCACCTACCTCTCCTACGCAAAGGCACAACCAGAAAACTCGCCCTTCGCTTCATTGGCCCGTTCACCATCACCCGAGTCCTCTCACCAGTCACCTACCGTCCAACTGCCCAGCTATATGAAGATTCACCCCGTCTTCCATGTCCAGGGCCTCCGCCCTTTCCGTGCACCTTCACACGACCGTCCAGCCACACGCCAAGTGCCACCGATGTTCGAAGGCAGTCTCGGCATGCTTGAGGTTGCATCTATCTCTGCACATCGCGACACACCTCATGGTCACGAGTTTCTTGTTTATTGGAAGGACCAGCCCACTAGTGACAACTCATGGGAACCAGAGAGCCACCTTGACCGTGCCGCAACTGCTGTGAATCGGTACTTAACCAGCCACGGTTTGGCGCCGTGGACGGCGCCACTTGGAGGGGGAAGTAATGTAACAGTGTGGCAGCCGAATGCTGCCAAGTACAGTGCAGGTGGGCGGAAGTCAAGCGCCACCTCACCAACTGTTCGTATTGGTCAAACGCCTCAACCTGCAGCTGGGCAACCAGGTTCTGACATGCAGCCCAACTCAAACACTCGCGCGAAAATTACGAAACGCAGAACACCCAAGTTCCGACGCCTCGCCGACTTCGTCAACCACGCCGACGAAGTTACAGTCCCGTAATCAAACTCGCCGACCAATCCCGCACCGCAATCAATCTCTGAATTTCACGGCAAGGTTCATTTCAAGGGGCATAGTTACCAATAAGAAATTCAGAGTGTCGCGACTTGGTAGTGCGACTCGATTTGTGAATGCACCATATAAAATTGTGTGTGGAATTTGTTGAAGTCATAGTGCAATTTGAACTTTAGAGAGCACTCTATCATCGTTTTCCTAGCCTACTAAGGCTGCTACTTCCCTGCCAGCAACGTTTCATATACTGCTCAGCATGAGGCCGATTTCGGCTTTTCACGACTGTCAACCATGCCTGCCTTGGCAGCGTCGCTTCGCGTCCATTTCTCATCTCTCGCCGCTCTGCCGCGAAAATCTCTTCTCCGACCATTTAGGCCGCTCCTGACGCCCGCTGTCGCGGCCAGGCTGCTCGTGGCGGCACCCGCGACCTCATCGCACCCCGCCGTAGTCGCCATGGCGGCCGAGCCGCGAAGAACCCATTCATCCGCGAACATAGACTCCTCGTTAGATGACGAAATGCTGATTGAACTCTTGCCATCGTCGGCGCAGCGAACGCTTTGTCCCGCCGGCAGTGGTTGCGGCGACGGCGAGTGCGAGCTGCTCCACGTGGACCCGACGTGGCGAGATGTGCTGGCGAGCCGACACGTGGCGCACGGAGACGGCAGCAGTAACGGCAGGGCGTGGGGAAGACCTAGACTCATCGTGTGCGCGGGACCAGAGAGGTCGGGTGCGGCTGCCACAGCCCACTCACTTGCGCGCACACTGCCATGCTCCAAACTTGAAGTTCCCGATCCCAATATTTGACCTCCTGCTTCCTCTCATTCGGCGCCGCGCCCTCGTTCTCCTCGCGGTAGAGCTCCCCACCCCTTCATGTCTTTTCCGCCTCCCCTCTCCCCTCCCCACCCCCCTTCCCTTCCCCATTCCCCTCCCCCACCCTCCCTTCCCCTCCTCCCTGCAGGCTCCACGTGTCCCTTCAACCCCTCCTCCCATTTCCCCTCCTCCACCCAATCCCTTGTACTCCCATCGCCTCCCTGCCCGACCGCAGGCTCCACGTGGCTCTTCAACGCCGTGCGCCTGCTGCTCGCCCACTCGGGCCAGCTGGCGCTCTCCTATTGGCTGCACTCCATCTCCGCCAGCAAGCTGCGCGCCAGGGGGCTCTCGCCGCTCTGCACCCGCGGACCTGGGGGGGCGGGGGGAGGGGAAGGGGGGCCCACGGAGGGAGCAGCGAGTTCCGCGGAGGAAACAGGAGAAAGGGGAAATGGGGAGGGTATGGGGATGGATGGAGGGGAGTGGGGAGGAGTGAGCGTGGTGGTGAAGACACACGAGTGGGCGGAGGGGTGGGAGGTGGGCGAGTGGAGTGGGGTGGTGCTGCTGACTGAGAGGGACGTGTGTGGCGTCGCTGACTCCTACCTCCGCGTCGGCTGGTTACCACACAGCATGCCGTGAGTCACCCAGCATGCCGTGAGTCACCCAGCATGCCGTGAGTCACCCAGCATGCCGTGAGTCACCCAGCATGCCGTGAGTCACAGAGGGATCACGCGGACCTCTGCGGCATTGGGGATCTGCCCTTGGCACCAGCTACTGGCGCCATGTTGCGCGCTCTTGACCTTCTCGCACCACCTCCGATCCTGCCTCTCCTTGTCCCCAGGCTTCTTTAGCTTGTATGTCAAGCCCCCTTCAACCACAACTTGCTATTTTTCCCGCACACGCTTCTACTGCCACGCATCAAGGCCCATTGCTCCTAATCACCCCTGCCCTTTCCTCTCTGGGAAGTCCTTTTTCGCTCTCAATGCACCTGCAGCTCGAGCACTAAAGCAGTGCAACCCTCGCGAATGCCCCAAGCATGCACCAGTGCTTCCCTTTACCTACACTTTCTTTCCCTTCTACACTCCCCACTTCGGCCACATCAAGGCGCACATGCAAACGTACCTGCGAGACCACCATCGACATATTGTGCACTTCCGAATCACCACCGTTTGAATGCGTTGTGCCACTCCCCTCTGCATGTGCATGCAGGCACATCAAGGCACACATGCAATCCTACCTGCGAGACCACCAGCGGTGGAAGTAGCACGCTGCGGCCGTCATCTCGTTTGCCTCCACCCCACTCACCCTACTTTCTCCCCCATGCGCTCCTGCAGGCGAATCAAGGCCCACATGCAGGCCTACTTGCGCGACCACCAGCGTTGGAAGCAGCACGCTGCGGCCGTCATCCCCTTGGCCTCCATCGTGCCACCCGGCAGCCCCTCGGAGCTGCTCTGCCTCTCCCGCCTCGCTGCACTCCTGGGGCTCATCACCATGGAGGGGAAGGCGGAAGGGACTGCTGAAGGGGCGGCGGACGGGAAGGGGGAAGGGTCTGGGCTTGAGGCGAGTCTGGGCAGTGTGGGGGGAGGGAGGGCTGGTGGGAGGGCAGTGGACGTGCGTGGCGTGTCAAGAGCCCTTGCTCAGCTGCCAGTTCCCACAGGTGCGACCATTTGCCCTTCTCTCTGTCCTGCGCCGCAGGCTGGCGATCCAGGAAGAAAGTTGTGGATTGAAGGCATCACCCTTACTCATGCTATCGGCCCCACTTCCAAGTCTCATTATGCTTCCCAGCCCTCTTTATGCCCTCCCATGTCCTCCTACTTCTCCCCCCCTCGTTGGCCACCCTCCTCCTGACCCGCCACCAACGCTCACTGCAGGCTGGGCGCCTGACCCGGTGACCAAGCTGTGGCCGCGCCACAAAGGGGCAGCCCATGCAAGCAAGGGGGGAGCAGCAAGGGGCCTGACAGGGGAGGAGCGGGCGGAGCTGCAGCAGTTTGAGGAGTCCCTGGCGCCAGCCGCCAGTGAATCCACTGAACAGTGCGCCTAAGAGTAGCTGACCACGCAGAGGCCTCGCCAGCACATGAGCGCAGCCCTGGCACACAGGGGGGATCAACGAGGGTCCTCACACAGGACGAGCGGGCAGAGCTGCAGCAGATTGTGCAGTCCCTGGCGCCACCTGCTGCCGCTGCACCCAGGAATAGCTCACCTGATGGTAAAGCTGTAGCATTGCCACGTCAGCGACCTGTACACCCTGGAAAGCAGGCAGCAGCAAGGGGCACATCAGAGGGGCACGGCACCCTGAAACTACACGGCGTGCATCAGGCTGTGGAGGCCAGGCTGACCAATTCAAGGCATTCCCGGCTATCGTGTACGGTACCTTCTAGATAATGCATTGGAGTAAGAGAATGGTTGACTGTTAGCATGACCGTACTGTAGAATATTGAAATTCTAGGTGACTCTATGATGCTAAAAGGTACTCCAATGTTTAAATTGCGTTCTTCTAACCCGCATAGACTAATCATCTGTAAATTCCATTCACAAACTCACCGTCCCACTACAACTTTCCTGCTTGTAGTTGGCTCGAGCTAGAACATGCTCTAGACTTTCTGGGATCTGGATCTTACCCTTACAGCCCCTAATGGTGACCTCTATGAGGCGGTTAAAGCCCGCCAGGTACTCAGGAAGCGACTTCATCTGCTCACAGTGAATTAGCCGCAGCTTCCTGATGCGATCAAAGCAAGCAAAGCTCTTGGGCAGGCATGTAAACCTTGACTCGTGAATCTCCAAAATCCTCAGCTTGGGCGGGCAGGTGATATTTCCGGTCCAACCCCGCTTAACTCCCATATTGGACAGCCTTAGAAAGCGCAGAGAAGTGAAGGAAGAGAGGCATTCCAAGGTCCTGGACGAGGCGAGAAGAGGGTTGAGGATCAGAATTTCAAGCCTTGGCATCAGTGGAATCGGAAATTTGCTGCGTGGTTGATCCACTTGAAGGAAAGTCAGGTTTGGGTACGCAGTCAGCCGAGTCTCGTAACCAGGCCCGGCCCTCTGTAGCGTGTGCCTCAGGTTCGGCAGAGCCCCAACCTGAGCGGTGGAGTGTATGGCTTGGAAGACCCTGAGGTTCGGAAAGAGGCAAACCGAGTCGGGGACTGGTGGGCAACGGACGTTCATGAGCTTAAGATGTGTGATTGTAGAGGAGGCCCAAGGGGACAGGCTTTGCTCGTTATTAGAACTTCCATGCAGAGTCAAGGACTGTAGAGCAGGAGGGAGAAAAGGACGAGGATTCCGGGCTTGTCCCTGGTCTGGTTGTTCTTGTTGACCAAGCTGACCCTGCTCCTGCTGCTGCTGCTGCTGCTGCTGCTCCCGCTGCTGCTCCTGCTGCTGCTGCTGCTGCTGCCGTTCCCCAACCCCTCCCCTGTCTACGTCAGAAATGCACAGGTCTTTCAAGGATGTCAGATTCCACAGTCCCATCCCGGGCCTGGAGCTCAGGCTCGGAGCAGCCAGTGGCATGTGGAGCCGCGTCAGGCTCGGCAGGTGCCTGAGGGATGGCGGAGGGGTCAACCATTGGTCCGAAGTGAGGGTCAACGAAGTCAAATGCTTCAAGCCCGCGAATCGCGGCTCGTCCAGAATCCTATCCCCCTCGTTGCCCACGTTCGCCACGTCAGCAGCTGCGGTTGTAACAGCCCCAGCAACAGCAGCAGCAGCCTCGTTAAAGCCCATCACTCTCAAAGCGGTTCGCCTCTCCAGCTGCACGTCTCTATCTCGCCTCTCCTGCCCTCTCGCTGCTGCGGCTCTGCTGCTCCACATATCCGTCTCCAGTTCCTCCAGCCGCTCCAACCCCCATATCGAGTCCGGGAGCAATCTTATAACGTTATTGGGCTGTCTGGTAACGGGTACAAAAGACAGGCCATCGAGATTGCGTGAGACAACTTGAAGGTTGAGTGTCAGCTTCCGAAGCGAATGTTCCAAGCCAAGAAACAGGTCTGGAGAGAGGCTAGGCGCCTGGTCCTCGGAGCTCGGCCTGAGCTCGTCGTGGTAACATAGTATGCGAAGCTCTTGTAACGCGCGCAGTCGCGAAAACGGAGCGGCGGAGGCGAAAAACGAGTCGTTCTCACAAGTTACGTGAATATGGAGTGAGCGTAGGTGAGGGAACGTTGAGGTGAAGGAGGAGGGTGTGAATGAGGCGGAGAGGGGATGATGCAGAGGAAGGGAGAGATGGAATAGCCGCTGCCGCCGATGTTTTGAGCCTGGTAGGGGTACCTTTGCCGAGCCTGCCGAGATTCCCGACCCTCCCGAGCCTTCGACTGCCGAGCCAGCGGAGGAAGACATTGCGGTTACCAAATCAGGCAATTTGTCAGGCTCGGCGTATTGAAGCATATCCGTTTGCACGTGGAACGACTCGAGGCGCGGGCAGGAATCAATAATATTGGCGAGGCCTTTGGTAAGGATGGCGTTAAACGCGCTGAGGTTCGTCTGGGTTCGGAACGAGAAGTTCTGCGGAAATCGGATTTGGATCCGGCAAGAGCGGAGCGAGCGACACGTGGCGACCGTGGCTAACGCTTCACGTAGACCCTCGTTATAGAAAGAATCCTGCTGGCCAGAAAAGTTATCTATGAAGATCGGGATATTGACGGACGTCAGGTTCGGAAATCGTCTAATAAATTCGCCAATCCGCTTTCCGTCGGGAGAAACAATCGCGGAGTCGAGCTGTCGAAAGTTCTGTGATAAGATAAGATCCGATACCAGAGCAGGGGTGAACCAGGGGTTCTTGCTTGTGAAGCGTACGTGCTGTGGCATGCACAGTGGCGGGTCGTCTAGAATCCATAGCGTCTCCACTCCCGGATGCCACCGTGAAATGAAGCTGCAGTTTCTGACGTCACGGAAACAAGGCTCCCAACGCGCGGACCGCAAGTCGTAAACAACTGAGAAGTCGCGGGTTCGACTCTCAAAGACGTCGCGCCACTCCTTGCAGACCGTGCTAGCTGCGTGCGCGTCTGCAGGTCGTTGCAGCAGTCGAAAAACGACTTCGAGATCGTCAGCGAAAAGGGATAGTGATTCCGCGGGTGCAGACACTAATTGGGTACGACCGTAGCTGTTCCCAGAAAATGAGTGAGGGGAGGCTGGATAACGAGGCCGCAGCAATTCCGTATTCAGTGAGTCGAGAAAATTTACTGGTGTGTGTTCCTGCTCCTGCGGCTGCTGCTGCTGATGATGATGAAGGTCTACATTCTCGGTGGATGCATACGGCCATTGCTCCAAACGGAAAGTGCGAATGCTTGAAAACGAGACTGATCGAATCACTCGAGAAACTCCTGCCGTATCTGTTTCTACATTCGTTTCTGTTTCAAATGCGGTTGCTGATTCTGAAATGGTCTCCGCTGTTGAATAATCGCCTTCCTGCTGAGGGACTTCTACTGCTGCTGCTGCTGTGGCTGCTGGAAAAGCACTATGTTCGTTGGTGCCCTGAAGCAGAGCACTAGTCGTAGCCATTGCCCGTTTTGAAGGTACCGCACTCACAAGCCACCAAGCATCGCAGTTCTGTTCAGAAACGCCTCTCTAACGGTTGTAATTGGAGGGAACTAATTCAAGATAAGCAATAAACGTGTTTGAAATTTATAGCCATGCGGCTCGGTGAAATTGGGTTGCGTGTGGCGGACTCGTAGTGACAGATGCTTGTTGCAGTCTATTGGTTGCGTGGTCGAGCAGCGAAGGCTGGCGAGGATTTGACACTCAACCACCAGGGTTGTGGGTTTCTCGCGTGACAGCGATGGGTGGTTGCGATGGACCAAGGTGTAGTTACCAGGAAGTACAGTACAGTCAGCACATAAGGGCGAAAGTGCGGTCAACTTTGTTTCGTCACGGTGGAAAACGGTAAGCTTAGAGAGCCGATTTTTCCACCGTTTTGGGTGGAACATTGGCGGGATTTCCGACCATTGAATTTTCAGATGGTCGCTCCGACAGTCACGGCGGCAGTCAAGGCGAGAGACAATCGGACAGCGCGCTGTCTCACCCGCAAACGCCGTCATGCGCTGCGGCCGTTCGCATAGTAGTGCTGCACTGTCGCTACTCTGAGTTGCGGTCCCGGTGGCAGTGCCACGTGCACGCGTCGCCATTCGACGAACGCATTCGTTGCGGCAGGTGCGGCGTCGTTCATTTACTGTAGCAGGCGACACCAGGTGCGTGCCGTAGCATTGCACGCCGTAGCGGGGAAAGACGAGGGACCAAGCTGCGGCGACGAGGGCCCGCTGGCGCAGCGCGAGGTGGCTTGCGCGCAGCTCATGCGTGCGGCTCATGCGCTCAGCTCATGCGCACAGCTCATGCGCGCTACCAGCCTCCCGTCGCCGCCCAGCCCGTGCTACCATTAGCGCCAAGTCCTCGTCGCTCCCACGTGGCTTCCCCCACCTCATCGCTCCCAGCCGCTCGGGTTTACCCGCGAAGCCCTCGCAGGGTTCTGCTCTCCCCTACTCCCTGCCCCTCTCATCACCCTCTTCTCTCCACCTCTCCTCTCGCCCGCTCCTCTCCCCATCTCATTTCCTTCTCTCCTCTCCCCGTCTTCCTTACCCCCGTATTCTCTACCCCTATCTTCTCCCCCTATTCTTTTCCCCTCTCCTCGCCTTCCCTCCCCCTTTGTTGTCTTCCCCTCTCCCCTCCCAAACGGCCCTTTTTTTGTCCCACACCCCACACCCCATGCCCCACGCCATGCCCCCATGCCCCATGCCATGCCCCATGCTCCAATGCCCCATGCCCCATGTCCCATGCCCCATACGCCGCACCCCAAGGTCCGTGCCCCATGCCCCATCCTCCTTTCCCCAAGCGCCATCCCATCAAATGCACGAGCGGTGGGGGAGTGCGCTCGCCTGGCCCATCTCCGTTTCCCATGCTCCATGCCGCCCTATGCCCCTTCCCTTCCCCCTTCCCCCACGCCACGCCCCATGCATCCCCTCAGGCAGCTTACTGGCGGCAGCACTCCCAAGGGGGGGGAGTGCGCTCGCCTGGCGCTGCAGCTGCAGGGGGCACCAGCTGTCATGGACCTGCCCTGCCCTTCCCCTTCCTGCACCTCTTCATCATCCGGGTGCGGTGCGGTGCAGTGCTGTGCGGTGTGGTGCTGCCCATCATCATCTCCATGTCACACTCTCCATGCTCCATTGTTTCCGTTGCGATGACCACAACGCCCCACGTTTCTTAATCTCTTCGTCGCCCCCGCCTTGTTCCCCGTTCTCCACGTGACACTTGGCTTGGCCCATGCCTGTCACGTGTCTGTCATGTGGCTCTCATGTGCCTGTCATGTGTCTGTCATGTGCCTGTCATGTGTCTGTCATGTGCCGGTCATGTGTCTGTCATGTGGCTCACATGTGCCTGTCATGTGTCTGTCATGTGCCTGTCATGTGTCTGTCATGTGGCTCACATGTGCCTGTCATGTGTCTGTCATGTGCCTGTCATGTGTCTGTCATGTGGCTCACATGTGCCTGTCACGTCATATGTCCATGCCTGTGTGCTACATGCGGGATGCATGTCATGTGCAACGGAGGCTACAGGTGGAGCAAGGCCATCACACCATGTGCTCCTTCCTCACCTCCCTCTACCTGCATGCTGAGTGCACGTGGTTCGTAAGGCACCCTTTCCCTACTTCTACCGCTCTCCCACTCTCCCACCCTCTCCACCCTCCCGGCCTGGCGTGCTGCATAAGGGATGCAGGTGGAGCAGGGGCGACACACCATGTGCTCCTTCCTCTCATCCCTCCACCTGCATGCTTGTGGTCCCTACGCTGCCCTCTGCGGTCCTTAAGACACCCACTCCATCCCATTCTCCCGGACTCTGTCCCCCATTCTCTCACACTTTCCCATTCCATCTCCATTCGCTCTACCCGCTCTCACTCTCTCACTTTTGGCCCCTGTCTGCCACTGTTCACATCACAGCCTATCCGCTTGGTTTTCTCGTCAATGTTCTCCAATATCATTCTCTCATGCGCAAGTCATGCTCGCTCTTCAAGTCGGAGATTCGTTTTCCTTTCTCTCATCTTCCGCACTGCCCTGGTAGGATGCCCACTTCCCACCCCTTTCTGAGATTCTATGCCCGGGGTGATGCGCACCGATCAACCCCTTCCACTCTCTCACTTTCCGCCTCTGTCTCCTCCGGTTCGGTTCACATTCTTATTCACTTTGAAAACAGTGATTTGTTCATGGCTCTCCAAACTCATTCCCTCACCCAAGTCCCATTTGCTACTGGTTTCCTTTCCTCTCTCATCTCCCGCGCTGCCCTGGTAGGCTGCGCACCCCTTCTCGAGCTTTTACCCGCCACTAACGAGGGCCAGCCTGACCAGCAGCCCCGCAGCCCAGCAGCCCATCAGCCCGATCCGCCTCTCGTGCTGCGCCTCCACCCTCGCCCTCTAGTTCCCCGCGCGTGCACCTCACACTGCCTCCCGCCCTCCCGCTTCCCCGCGTCTACTACTTCTGGAGGGGCCTTCCCCTCCACTCGCCCGCCGCGCTGCTGCTGCACACGGTATGGGCATGGGGCATGGTATGACGTGGTGTGTAGGGTATGGGCGTGAGGTATGGGCGTGAGGTATGGGCGTGAGGTATGGGCGTGAGGTATGGCGTGAGGTATGGGCGTGAGGTATGGGCGTGAGGTATGGGCGTGAGGTATGGATTTGAGGTATGGGTTTGAGGTCTGGGCATGAGGAATGGGCATGAAGTACGGTATGGTCTGGTGTGATTGGTAAATGTTTTGAAGCCCTCTCTTTGTCTTTCTTCAAAGGAGATCATTCCTTATGGTCAACAACGAGGTAGGTCTTCACCACCCCCAGTACCCCCGCTCACCCACTCTCACCCCTGCCAGCCGCTCGCCACCCTGCTCCTTTAACCCGTATGATTCAACTAAAAAATCGCCATCTCACCCATCTGCCCCCCCCCCAGCCGCTCACCATCCTCCTCCTCCTCGCCCTCCACTTGCTCCTCCAGCCCGCCCCGCCACCTCCGCCTCCCCTCCCTGCGACCACTCATGCCCCGGACCACATGCCTTCTCACAGTGCAGCTGGGAGGAGGGACAGGAGGATTAAGAGAGCCAAGAGGGACAGGTAAGAGAGCCAGAGCCAAGAGGGACAGGTGCAGAGTACACGTGCAGAAGGGCACGAGCACCATCGATGCCACCTTTGTTGTGGGCTCCTCAAACGTTCTTCCCTCTGCATCCACGTGGTTGGTGCGACTCCACTGCTGCCCCATTCCCCACTCTTTCCTCTGTTTCAGAACCACATATGCCAATCATCATCTTGCTTCCTTCCCATTCACTGCACTTCCTTCCACGTCCCATACTTGAACCTGTGGGCTGCCAGCTGTGCCTTCTCTGTGTGCTGCCTCCTGTGTCATCTCCCCACTTCCTCCTCCATCTCTATTTTTTTCAGCTGTCCTTCCCTATGCCTCACTGCGTAACACTTGTATGCATGCATGCTCGTGGCACACCTGACATGTCAGGTCAGGTTATTGAGGAACGGGTGTTGGAAGGGCTTGGAAAAGGATTCGAGCCCAGTGATTGCAGGAAAGGCGGAACACCAACATGGCATGGGTGGCATCCATGGCGAGGTAACAACGTTATCGCTTGGCTCCGCCCGGACTTGAACGGGAGATCCTCGGTGTGATAGACTGACGTGATAACCAACTACACCACGAAATCGACAGTAGGTGGCTTGAGTCAGAGCTCATCAACTTGACAACCTCTTTCACCCACCCTTGCACTCTCCGCCCTGGCACAAGCACTGCCTCCCATCCCACCACACACTGCTTCTCACCGTGCCTATAACCATGCCTTTCACCACGCACTGCCTCCCATCCCACCACACACTGCTTCTCACCATGCCTATAACCATGCCTTTCACCCCCGCCCTCCCACCTCTCCCCTTCTCCACGCTCTCCTGGCGCCACTACCACCTCTGGAGGGGCCTTCCCCTCCACTCGCCCGCTGCACTGCTGCTGCACACGGTATGGGTGTGAGGAACAAATGGGCATGAGGCGTAGGGTATGGGCATGTTGTATAGGCGTGAGGTATGGGCATGAGGCATGGGCGTGAGGTATGGGCGTGATGTTGTAAGGGCATGAGGCATAGGCGTGGGCGTGAGGTATGGGCGTGAGGTACGGCACCACCCCAAACCAGAGGCCACGGACCACCCTGGTGCAACCGGATTCCGACCTATAAAATGGGCTTTGGGCGGGTAGGAGCCCGCGTTGGCACCACACCATCCTAGAGGTTACAAAGAACTCAGGATTTACTTTTTTTTTTAAGTTTCCGTGCCCTACACAAGGTTTTGTGGTCTGGTGTGTGTGTAGGGCGTGTATTTTGAAACCCTGGCTTTGTCTCTCGTCAAAGGAAACCATTCCTTGTGTTCAACGACGCATTCACTACACTCCCCACCGCACTGCAGTGGTGACTTTTGAGTCGACTCCAAACGATGTGACTTTTGAATTGACTCAAAAGTCAAAAGGATTCCATTCCTTGAGTTCCACGACGCATCCTCCGCAGTCCCCACAGCACTGCACTCACCCTCACCTCACCCACCCTTGCTAGCCGCACCCCATTGTGTTCCCCAACCCCAATACTCCCACTCACCCACCCTTGCTAGCCGCACCCCATCGTGTTCCCCAACCCCAATACTCCCACTCACCCACCCTTGCTAGCCGCACCCCATCGTGTTCCCCAACCCCAATACTCCCACTCACCCACCCTCGCTAGCCGCTCACCATCCTCCCCGCCCTCCACCTGCCCCTCCAGGCCTCCTCGTCACGTCACCTCCTCTCGTCTTCCCAGCCACCACTGTAGCCCCCTTACAACACACGCATTCACCACACCAGCACCACACAACTCCTTGCGCCCCAATCCCCCCCCTCTCGCCTACCTGTCTGTCCCCACCACCAGCCGCTCACCATCCTCGCCCCTCACCTGCTCCTCCACCCCTCCCCATCGCCTCCTCCTTCTCTCACTGCCACCACTCTGAAGCTGACGCGCCTTGAGAAGCTGACGCGCCTTCAGAAAACTGACACGCCTTCAGAAAGCTGACTCGCCTTCAGAAAGCTGACTCGCCTGGCGTTGCAGCTGGGAGAGAGAAGAGAGGGGGAGCGGATCAGAGCGCGTGTGCAGAGGGGCAGCAGCGGCATCTGCAGCAGCAGTGCTGGCGGTGTGGGCTGAGAACTCGCCACTCCCTCCGCATCCACATGCCCTCAGTGCGCATCCACATCCATGAGAGCTCAGTGCGCATCCGTGAGTGCGCCAATCAACCCCTCCTGTTCCACTGTTTTTAAGCCTCATATGCCCAGCAATCATCTTGCTTTATTCCCATCCGCCCCACTTCCTTCCACGTCCCTTACTACACTCTGTGTGCTGCCACCTGTGTCTTAGCAGCTCCATCATCTCCCCTTTCTCCCCCGTCTCCATTCGTACCACTACCCTCCCCTATCTGCTACCAGCCTCAACCTTTCACACTTCCATGCATGGCTTTTCTTCTCCCCCATCTCTATCCGTACCACTACCCTCCCCTTTCCGTTGCTGTGCCTCACCCTTTCACACCTCCATGCATGGCTTTTCTTCTCCCCCATCTCTATCCGTACCACTACCCTCCCCTTTCCGTTGCTGTGCCTCACCCTTTTACACCTCCATGCATGGCCTTTCTTCTCCCCCATCTCCATTCGTACCACTACCCTCCCCTTTCCATTGCTGTGCCTCACCCTTTCAGAGCTCCATGCATGACCTTTCTTCTCCCTTCATATCCATTCGTACCACTGTCATGCCGTATCGGTTCAATTGCTTCACTCCATCACATCATGCCTCTATGTATGAATGCTCGCACGTAGGTGCATGTGACTTCACAAAACCATTATTTTTCCTTCCTGCATGGCAGACAGGCAGACAGGGAGACAGGCAGGCTATCAGGCAGGCAGGATGGCAGAGAGGCAGCATGGCGGTCAGGCAGGCAGGCAGGCAGTCAATTACATAGGCAGGCAGGCAAGTAGGCAAGGAGATAGGCAGGCATGTCTCAATTTAAAGTTAGCACACATGGCATGGCAGGTCAGGTTATTGAGGAGAGGGTGTTGAAAAGGGCACAGCACTTAATCTACAGCACGCAGGTCAGGTTTTTTAAGAGAGGGTGTTGGAAGGACTTTGAAAAGGATTGGAGCCCAGTTATTGCAAGTGCCATATAAAGGAGGAAAAATATCACCCTGGGGAGAGATCCGACATGGCATAGGGGTCCAACGTCAGGTAAAACAACGGCATAATGGCTTCGCCCGGACTTAAACCAGAGACCTTCAGTGTGTTAGACTGACGTGATAACCAACTACACCACGAAACCCATATTCTCTGAATTCGTTGATTATTCTCACTAATAGCTGTGCCACAGCTGTGCTACTGCTGTGTCATACTTTCTCCCCCTCTCCCTCTCTTCCCCCTATGTGAGAGTACGACGGCTTATGCTGGCTTTGCTAGCTTGCCTTTATTTTATTATGCTATTTCTAGCATAGGATAATTATATGCATGCATGAATTGCTTGATCTCCTAGGCTAGGTGCTTTCCTATATTTTATTATAGTTATAGCACCGAGCTAGGTTGCGTGCATCGAATTCTGGCTTTTCGGTTGCCACCGAATTGCCTTCTACCGAATTTGGGAAGGGTCTGTTCGGGACGCTTCGCGACCCGCGGAACCTTCGCGTAACACCTGGTTACGGGGCCTTGTGTCGAGCCTATATATAGCCTTGTGTTGTACCCACGTGATCATTCAATTCACATTCTCTTTTCTGAGCTCGATCCTAGATCCTCACACTTGGTAATCAGAGCCCGTTTACACGCGAAGTTCTTTCGACCGCTAAAACCCAGTCTTCAAAAACCGCGGGGGCGACGCAGCTAAACACCGATTTCGGGTACGTAAAACCGGTTCCGTGTTTTCCCGCTCCTCCTCGATTCGGTTTTTCGGACGCGTAATGTCAGGCATGGAAGGCGAGGGCGACAACTACGCGATTACGAGCGACATCGCGAGCCTCCGCACCGACATGGAGCAGACGCAGGCGACGCTTCGTCGACTCGAGACTTTTCTGACAAGCCAACCAGGGTTCGCCACAGCAGCAGCAGCGACAGCAGCGACTGCAGCACCGACGACTCCAGCAGCAGTGGCGACACCGACATTTCACGGACCGATGGCACCACTGTCGCCGAATCTCGAAGCAGCACGACCGAGGCTCCCGGAGGCATTCGATCCAAGCGCGAAGGGATCCGACGCCCGGCGATTTGTGGCCACCCTCGAAATTTACTTCGAGGCCATTGGCTGTTCGACCCCGCAAAACGAGGCAACAAGAATTCGGCTCGCAGCGACGCTGTTACGTGGACCGGCACTCGAATGGATCTACTACAGTGACGTAGCCCGCGGGGAGAAAACGTGGCAGCAGTTTCGGGCAGATTTAATCGAACGTTTCGAACCGATTAATACGACCTACATGGCGCGGCAGCAGATACACCGACACAAACAATACAGTAGTGTAACACAGTATACGCAGCAGATGGAGTTACTGTTCAACCGCATTACCGACCTGATCGAAGGCGAAAAAATCCAGGCGTACACAGAAGGGTTAAAAATGGAGATTCGGCGGCAGGTGATTGCGGCGAATTACGACAGCTACAGAGACATCGTGCGTGCTGCCGAACGATACGACGCGCTGACTCGAGGTCAACCCGAAACACGACGCTTCACGTCGAACCGTACATTCGGCACGGAGCGATCGGCACCCCCCACGTTCGCCGAACCGATGGATATCGACAAGTTTGACGCGAAGGAGCAGACGACAAAATGTGAATTTTGCGGCGCAGCAGGGCATCAAATCTTGTTGTGCTACAAAATGAAGAAAGCACGTGCGGCACTACGGGACGGTAACAGTGAAGCACCCCCGAAGTCAAAAAACGGGAATCGCCAGTAGCCGCGGATCGACCTGGCGATCGCGTAAAGATCCGAAAAGCAGGGAAAGGCGACGACGTGGCGACTTCGGAGCGGGTGAAAAAAGGAGAAAATGATGGCGCGAATATAAAACGTCACGACCGGCCGGCATCAGGGGAAATCGCCGAGGCGAATGGTGGCTCCGCGAAAAAAGACTCTGCACCGACCGGGAAACTCCAGCCGAACACCCACGAAAGTAAGAATTCGTTAAAAGTATCCTATAAAGATACTCTAACGAAGAATATTGCTTCTCGTGGTTTTCAAGCCTTTGAAAAATTCAGGGGAGAATTAGAGGCCAAGAAAAAGACTTTAGAGATTATTCAGGTACCTGAGAAGTTGGGCAAATCATTACGGAGCGTAGAAAAGGGTCGTGCGTTCTGTGGAGTTAATCTTCTCTCCCCGCAGCACAGTGTTAAGGCTCCTCGTTGCCCACAGGTGAAGCCTACACAGCTGCAAAGGCTTAGAGGAAAATTCCAGGCTCAGGAGAAGCGATACAAGCCTCGGAAAAATCCTCCTACCCCCCAGGTGAAGTTAGAAAGTGCTGAGTCGGGTATAGGAAAAAGGGAAAGTATTCATTTTACTGTACCCTATGATCCTATTAATGAGACCCTCTTTGGCTACTCAGCGCAGCAGAAACCACTACCCCTCGAGGTGTTATGCAATGGGCGACGCCTCCAGGCACTGGTGGACAGCGGTGCATCTCACTCGGTGTGTGACCGCGGAGCATTGGAGAAAATTGGAGAGAAGGCGGAGGAGACCCAGTTTTCAGCAACCATGGTGGACGGTACGAAGCTTCCTATCCACGGCGAAGCATCACTGCAGCTGCATATCGGCGCGTTAAGGTGGAAACCGAAGCTGCCAGTCACCAACATCAAAGGGTTAGATTTTATCTTGGGGCGAGATTTTCTGAAGCGGTTCAACCCCGAGATCGATTGGGTCAACAGCAAGGTGTGCATCTACAACAACGGGAAGCGGATAGCACTACGAAGCTGGACGGATACAGGGGACGTATCTGAAACAACACTGGCATGGTTCGAGCAGACGGTGAACGAGAGTAACACGGGTTACCTAGCACTGGTTGTGGCAGCAGCAGAGGAGGAGAAGCCGAGTTCCGAGCTACCTGCAGCAGTGAGGGAGGTCTTGGAGCAGTACAAGGAGATCATGCCCGACGACCTACCTGGAGGCGTACCCCCTGCACGCACCCACGAACACGAGATCGTGGAGGAACCAGGTGCGAAACCCGTCTCACGTGCACCATACCGACTGAGTCGGACCGAACTGACAGACATGAAGAAACAGATTGAGTATCTACTGGACATACAACTGATCCGACCCTCCACCTCTCCCTACGGCGCACCAGTTCTCTTCACTCCAAAACCAGACGGCAGTTTACGGATGTGCATTGACTACCGCGCACTGAACAAACAGACAGTAAAAAACAAATATCCCATACCGCGCATCGACGACTTACTGGACCAATTGTGTGATGCAACAGTATTCTCGAAGCTAGACCTACGGTCGGGTTACTGGCAGATCAAGATGGCAGACAACTCGATCCACAAGACGGCGTTCCGTACTCGACACGGCTCCTATGAATACTTGGTGATGCCGTTCGGACTCTGCAACGCACCAGCAACGTTTCAGGCGGAGATGAATCATATCCTTCGACCCCTGCTAGACGAGTGCGTAGTGGTGTACCTGGACGATATACTTATCTACTCCAAAAACATGAAGGAGCACGTGGAGCATCTGCGGAAGGTGTTCGAGATCCTGCGGAAGAACAAGTTCTACGTGAAGCTGTCAAAGAGCGACTTCGCCCTGAAGAAGGTGCAGTTCCTCGGGCACATGGTGAGTGCCGAGGGTGTACACGTGGACCCGCGGAAGATCGAAGCCGTCAAAGAGTGGAAAATTCCGGAAAACGTCAAGGAGTTGCAGCAGTTCCTAGGCTTCGCCAACTACTACAACAGGTTCGTGCCACAATACGCTAAGATTGCAGCGCCACTGACCGACCTCCTGAAAAAGAATACACCATTCAAATGGGATACTCCTCATCAGCAAGCCATGGAGCAGCTACAGACCGCAC